GTGCATTTTTCTTTCTTTTTTCTTTCTTTTTTTTTTTTTTTATGGGAAAAGAGAGTTGGGTTTGGACTTCATTGGTGTTCAGATTCAAAGGTGATTACTAAACCCAACTGGATGCGTGGAAACAGCAGTGCTTGGGTTGTATGGGTTTTTTGACATGTGCCAGAGTCCTGAACTCCATTACTTGACATCATAGGCTTTCTGTTAGGTTGTCATTACCTACTAGTTTGCGTTTTATAGAACTAGTTTGATTATCTACTAAAACAAAGGTAGAAATAATATTAACAAAACTTTAGAAAATTTGTGTTTGTGTAGTAAAAAATCTATTGAAATAATTTTTTCTAAAAGAACAACATTGAGTGGTTTCCTTGCAACACAAATCTCTATGAAAGTGATGAAATGTTTTTCTTTCATTGGAGTACGCTGCAGTCAAGAATGAGTGGTTTATCCATTTTCCCATCCAGTCCGTTGTCCCCCTCCCCTTTAATACTTGTGTATTGAGTGCCTGCATTGCACATGGCACTATTAAGTGCTGTGGAATATGAGTTAAGAATCATTTATTCAACATACAATGTCCACTGACTATGTGCATGGCATGGTGCCAGGTAAGGGAGAAGCCTATAACATAAGACTTAAAATTCTTAGTCCAGCAAGAGAGCAGCGTTCAGAAAAGGGCCAGAAGGTGCCCTAGATCTCTACCTATCTTTTCTAACTCCTTTGGTATAGGACGTCTTCACAGCAGTAATAGTGGAGCGTTCAGCACTGAAATAGTAGGAAATAAATGAATTCTAAGGACCATGAGCAGTTTAGATTGGCAGGAACCATGGAAATTGGTGTGGCCACATAGGAAAGAGTGACCTGCTGGGCTCTTATTACAGTTGTTTAGTTCTTGGTAGGAATTCTTAATATTGATGGTCTGGCAGGATGAGGGATATCGCCTTCTCATGATCACCTATCATAACTTAGTAGTCTTGATGTCACATGGATAACAGTGAAGCCCTTTTCCAAAGTAAACACGTAAGTTAGCCTAGCTAGGAAATTTTCATTTGGAGAATGTAATGTCATGATATTTCTGGGTACAATTTTCCTGAATGGCATGAAAATTGGTTTTCTCTAAGACTTATGCAAAATATATTAACCATTACTCTGAACCCAATTTTGTATTGCATTTTTAAAAGGTCATCTCCTTCAGTAAAGAAGTTATATTAGGAGCAATGTGTTCATAAGAATACACTGCTGGATCTGGTTGCATTTTATTGAGAATGATATCTAAGTCTGATGCTTAGAGGACAACTAATAATTTAGGGATACATTTTGAAGTAGTTACAAATGAAATGCTATGATGTCTGGAATTTTTCAGAATAACGGTGGAGGGGGTAGGGGAAGGGAAATGATTATTTAGAGATGAAACAAGACCGGCCATGCCTTGGCAATTGCTGAAGATCATGATGGGTATGTGGGAGTTCACTCTACAATTTTTTCCACTTTTATATATGGTGGAGGCCTTCTTTCAAAGTTCTCACTAAGAGGATAGACTCAGTTTGACCTGTCACTGATTTAACATTTACACTTATATATTAGCTCTTTTGTATTGGAACTTGGTACTAAATAGATAGTTTTTTGACTTCTACTAAAGTTGTGGGTCAACTGCTTGGGGTTTGTGAATTCATTTGAATTAGAATGAAATCATCTAGTATCAGGTAACATTGCAGTTTACAGTAAAAAGAAAACAGAAAAAGGGGCCAGTTTTATTGTTTTTGTTTAAAGGGGGGAGGGGGAGCCATACAAATCCTTAACAACAACAAAAACCCAGTTTAATTTAGTTTTTAAATGCATTTAAAAAGAATGCCCAAAATAATGTAAAAATTACAGTGACTTAAAAAATTTTCTTCTCAACTTATGTTTGCATAGCTAAAAATGAATCAGCCTCCTTAATGTTTGCATATCGCCAGCACTTAGATGTAGAAAAAAGAGCACTAGATCCAGTGCAGATTTCACTCACCAACCTTGCAAAAGAAAAAAATAGTATGTGGCTTGTGCCATATACTTACCACATAGTATTCATACTTTGGTTTACAAAAAAAAACCACACACACACACAGAAAAACTCCCAAAAAGTTGCTTGTAAGATGTATGTGCACTTTTAAAAACATCCCTACAACTATATTCAAAGTTTAGAGATAAGCTTTTCAGAAAACTCAGTCTCTGTTGCCCTTTTAACTCCCTCCCCCATCCCCCCAATAGGCACATCAACCTCTCTGGCTGTTTGCTCCTCAAATAGGAGAGCAGTCACTACTGAAAATCTGATGTAGAGGTGTGCAGGCTGCCTGTTTGTAAAAACAGATAACGAAATAGCACAAATGTCAAGCATCCTGCCTCATTTAACCCTATACATGATTAAATTTCAGGAAAGTTCTTTTGAAATGACTGAGTTCATTTCCTATGAACTACATCATCTAATAAATACGTTTTAAAAGTCCACTTTAAGTCAGAAATTCAAGATTTATTTCATCTTTTCTGACATTTCTAGGTACAATGAACTCATTTGTAACTAAGTTTACTGTGATTTTTAAATTAATTTCTGGGTTTCTGCGTGGAGTGTAAGTGCCGTGAAGGTAAGGACTGCCCGTTTTCTCACTGTCTTATTTGCAGCATCTAGCCCAGTATCTGGCATGTTTAATTTTCTGAAAAAGCTTTTCAGATTTCTGCAACAGTAGATATATATCCATTTCTAATTTGTAATATGTGACTTATCTAATTAGTGACTAAAATAGACTAAAAAGTATCATGTTTTAGTCATGCAAATTCTCTATCCAGACTCCTTTGTTAAGAGATAGGTGGGGTACAAGATACATTCTGAAGAATGGTTCTCAACTGCACATTAGAACACTTGCGGAGAGATTCGGCTGGCCCCTACCCTTGGGAGTATAGATTAAACTGGAGGGAGGACCTGGGCATGAGATTCTCCCCTCCAATTTAATGAGAGGGGACCAAATCTTTGCATTATGTTTCTTTGCCTCAAAACATTAATCATTATTAGGTGCTGCAGTATTTTGAAACTAATTATTGTTACTTGTGAACACATTTTAAAATTGGTGTCCAAGGAAATTTGAAGTCACTTTAATAGCAGATAATCTATACTTACATATTTGACATATTAAAGCATTACTTGTTAAACTTTAAGGGGCATCAGAATCACCCGGGATCTAGCTAGAATGCAGATTTCCAGGCAGTGAGCGGAGGGGGGTGGGGAGAGCTGTGATTCTGCATTCCTGACAAGTTCCCCCTGAGCCATGACGCTGCAGGTGTTTGGGCTACACTTTCAGTAGAGAGCTTGTTGGCAGGACTTGAGCTGACCCAATTTTAAGGTTACCAGCCATTCCTCACTGACACCATATTGTTCCTATAGCTCAGCAGTTTTCTGGTGGTGAGCCTACTGAGGCCCTTGCATGATTCTTCTTTCCTGAGGTCTGAACTCAATGACTTTCATATCAGTTGCCCAGGCTTCCCTGGTTTTGTGGGAAACATTGGCATAAGTGAGCTTTTTTAAAAAAAAGACAAACACACACGTGATTGAAAGCTTTCCTTATATAAAACCTCACATATTCTTATTTATAATAATTATTTTAAAGAAAATATGGAAGTAAATATAGATTGCAGATAATTTCGCTTTATGAGTGATCCCTTTCCCATGATTTTAGATAATCCTTATATTTTGCAAGACTGGAATAACAAAATTTATATTAGTGGACACACACTTGTTGAAAGGCTATCGTTTCATCTTGAGAATTTCAGATGTGGACAGGGTACTTTCCAGTTTACATCTGATGATTCTTTAATAAATTTGAACAACTATCTGATTACTTTTAAAAAGATAGTTAAACCTCCAAATGGAGACTTGGTATTATTGGCCGAGCTTTGGTTACTGTAAACTTTTGTAATTTTTCATTTTTTTCATCTGGTCTGTACCTACTAATGAGTAAATGCACATGAAGTACCTTGAATTTTTTAAATAAAAGGACAACAAATTAAACTATTATTATTAAAACAAGTGGTAGCTAATTATCTCCACCCTTTACTTGGCAGTTGAAACACTACAGAAGCTTGTCAGAGCCCTGGAAGGAGTAGGCAGAGAATTTTAAGAAAAGAGTAGTACTTAAATGCTTGTGCTCACACCTGGTTTAATCAGATGACCAGCTAGTAACCTGGTGGGGATATTTTGGGTGGCACAATCCCTTGCATTACAAGAATTTTATCATCCCCTCAGTAGATATGGCCCCATGATCTGCTTGACTCCATGCACCCCTCCTCATCACAAGTGGCACCAAATCTCACCCACGCACATTCCCAGGCACCCCTGACAGCCGCACCACTCCAGGCTGAGAAACACTGGTAAGAGGTTCAACAGAAAGGAAAATTATGCTCTGTCTTTAGGTTTTCTTTGGGACTAGGAAATGGATTTCTCTTGCTCTTCTTTGGCTTGTTAAAATACACATTATTTTGGGAAAGAGACCAGGCAAACATGGTGGCTAAAGATGATGTTAATTTCATTTGATTTATGTAGGCTTCATGCTTTGACTATCTAAGTGGGCGTCACAATCCCCTCTAGCATGCTGCTTTCTCTACCTGCACTGACCACAGGATTTTCCTGACACCTCTTGTTCTCTATGAGGACTTTCACCTTGTCAGACGATTTTGACAATTTCTCCATGAATCACATGTGTACACTTGTGTTGAGGATGATAGCTACTCATAAAAATGAATTCGAAGTCAATGTTTTACCTGAAACCTATATAATTTTGTTAACCAGTGTCACACTAAATTCAATTAAAAATAAATTTATAAAAATGAAGTCAGTGTTTTTTAAGCAATTTTGGGGTAATTGTATTAACTATTAATTATTGGGAACATAAAGACTTGCCGAAATGAAAAATGAATTTTTTGTTCTTATGTCACATTTTATTAAATAGCAGGATGGTTAATATTAAACACTCTAATGTTCTTACTTTTTTGTTTCTCAGATGGATCCCAATAGAATATCAGAAGATGACACTCACTGCATTAATAGAATTTTCAAACTCCACGAAAACACAGATTTGCAAGACACAAGTCTGGAGAGTCAAGACACAAAATTAATACCTGATTCGTGTAAGAGAATTAAACAGGCCTTTCAAGCAGCTGTGGGAAAGGTGAGTCCACATTGAGGCTGTAAGTCAAGGGCCCTCGTTGATTCTACTCATAATGAAATTAAAACTGGCTAAGTGCTATTGACTTTGTTCTTTTTTAAGAATTTGTAAAAGAGCCTAAGAGAATTGTTTTAAGGAATTAGCAGAATTGTTTTGAAGTTGTTGGTTGAATATGGTGACCAAAGATATTCATGTTCGTGGAAATATTCTTTCTATTTTCTTTCTTTATTCCTTCTCTCTCTCTCTCTCTCTCTCTTTTTCCTTTTTAGAGAAGAGATTGAAATCCACACTTGGAAGGAAGACAAAGATGGTTTGTGGTAGTCAGTGGGTTAGTTTGCTAGTCTGAATTCCCTGCCCTAGAACCATTCCCTCAAGTCAAAGAACTCTGCTAGCTATTTCCAGTATATTTGGCTTTGTAGTGGTAGGATCTCCGATTCTACATGTGTTGATCCAGGGCTCTGTTGAGAATAAGTGTAACTGGTCCCTTGTTGTCATCTGTGTTGAAGAGGTCAGCAAGGAGAACAGGAAATGATGTGATGGGCGAGGTGTTCTGTGTCCATTTTCTCATTTTCTGGGAGAGCTGGGTGAGAAGAGAGGACAAAAGACAGAGAACACCAGCGACGTCTCTTATGCCCAAGCTCTGATTGAGAAATACTGTATTAACAGCCTATTTTACCTTCTTTGATAAGGTCACTTGAAAATTCATCAGCCTTGCAATCATTTTACTTACTGACTCTACCCAGAACTGGGTAGAGCCCCGTGACTCCAGTGCATGCACACCTGCATGGATTCTGGCATCCACCTTTATATCCCAGCCTCTAGTTTGCAGCTCCCTGGGCTATCTTCAGTCATCTGAGAGTAAATCCTCAAGTTCTCAAATTTCTTAAATCTAAATTGAATTTGAATTCAGTTTATTGTTTTGAAAATTCATATATAGTAATAGGATACATTGTTATTGATTTTTAAAAAAATTTTTAGAAAGAGAGGAAGGGAGAGAGAGAAACATCGGTTGGTTGCCTCCAGCATGCAGCCCCACCGGGGATGGAACCTGCAACCTTCTGGTGTATGGGAGGATGCTCCAACCAACTGAGCCACCTGGCCAGAGCTATAGTAATAGTATTTTTGAAAAAGAGGATTTGTGTTAGAGGCAGAGGTAGGGAGATGAAGCTGTTTGTATAACCCTTAAAGGTGATATTTACTTATTTTACCAAATCTAAGGCACCACCAATTTTCAACTGACTTTCTTATTTCATGCATCACAAAGAAAGAAAAAAATGTTGACTAAGAAATTAAACATAATCGTCATAGATTCTAGTTGCATCTCAATTTCAGATTGCATCTAAAATGTAAAGAAAAAATTGCTTCATAGAATCCATAAAATGCAGATTGCTCATATTTATAAGAACAGATTGCTTATAAGTGTCACATTTTCATTATAATTAATGTGTAGGTGCTTAGCGTTATGCAGTAGATGCATATTTTAAAATGTGGGTTTAAACTCAATCTTGTTTCCTTATAATGTCTGAGGTATAGTAACAACAAATATGCTAGTCTATTCATTTTTGTTTTGTTTTATGTTTCATTTTCATTAGTCTGCTCTTTATTCTATTTCCCAAATACTTAATAATCTATCTACAAACAATTATTTACATGTACTAGAAGTAATCTATTAGTTCATAACTGAATCCCTAATTAAGGTAATTCTGGTTAGGTAAATGATTGTTTTCTAATTTTCTGTTTAGGTTGACCCAGATTGTATATCCTTACAATGAAAGGAAACTTTCAATTCCATTGGCTTAGTCTTAAAAATTATTCTTTGTGTTTCTTCTGGAAAAATAAATATGCAAGATCAGCCCAGATGATTTTGAAAATAAATAATGTTAAGAAGAACAGATACTATTAGTATTTATCTGAGAATGCAAGAATGGCTCATCTTAATAGGTCAAAGGATAAAAACATTATTAACTCATAAACACTAAGAAGTGATAGACAAATTTTTTTCTTTTATTTCTGATGTTTAAAATCTATTTGAAAATAAAACTAGATTCTTGATGTTACCTGAGACAGTTCAAACTAACATTTAGTTCATGGTGAAAACAGAGACATTTCTCTTAACACAAGGAAGATGCCCAGTGTCCCCATGTTAATTACCACTCAGAATGTACTAGCTATGTAATTACACAAAAGAATGAAATAAGAAAATATGTATATGTGGAAAAGGCAGAATTTGTATGTCATGTGATTGTGTTCTTGGGAAAATTCATAGGAAACTGAAAAGGTATAAGCAAAATAAAATGGTTTGTAAAAATTAATAAATAATAATTACTAGTTGCCCTCATGTCAAACAATAATCAGAAAATATAAATGAAAGAGTCTATTCATAACATTTTAAAAAATCCCTAAAAATAAACTTAATAAGGAATGTACAAAACTTCTGGAAGTAAAACTAGGAAACTCTACAGAAGCTCTTAAAATTGGATTGGATAATGTAAAGATGTAATTATGCAAAGTTGTATCCATGAAAGACAACACTGACCTTGGAGTAGAATTTATTGTATGTGTGTACATAATACAATATAAAATGATTTTTAAATCAGTGGGCATAGTTTGAATTATTGAAAAATGGTGTTGGGGCAATTTATTTACAATTTTCAAGAAATTTGCACTGTTTTTGCAATATTTGCAATCTTTTAACAAATATTTACTAAATTTATAATTTATTAAAAAGTAATAACCTTCTCTCATATCCTACGGGAAAACAAATCCCAGACAGAGAGAGCACGCGGTGGCCAAGCGCTGCTCCCTGGCAGCCCAGCAACACCTGCTGCTGCTTCAGGGAACCCCTCTGCCCTTACCTGGCCCATGACAACGCACCTGTTCGATGTCGCATGTCCTTTGAGCTTTCTAAGCGACTGCCAAGATAGTATGATAAACCAGTTTGGAGCAATAATGGCAGAATTTTTACTGTTTTAGAAGTCTTTTGGAGACAGGGTGCCTCGTTCCAAATGAGTAGCGTTAATTATAAGAGATTCAGTACCTGTCAAGCCAGAAGGAGAAAAATTTGTGGGCGTAGAGGAATAGCTAACTGCTCTTATTAAAGGCACACAGCCTTAATTGTACTGATAGGTTAGTGTGACTCACAGAATGAGCAGATCTTTATTTTATTAATTTCACATTTGTTTTTGTAGCGTTATAGGACTTTACCTATTAAGGATGGGTAATAATATTACAAAAGTAATACTTTTTAAAGAATAAGGACTGTCATGAAATATTAATGCATGTTTGGAGGTAGAAGACAAGAGGATCTTTAGGAAGGAGACGAGCATTATCCATACTTATCATTAGAATCAACCAATGTTTCTTAAGTGCACACACTGTGCCAGGCACTTTGCCAAAACTTCTCCTCTGCCTAATGATTTACACTTCTCTTATCCTTGCCAAGTAATGATTTTTCCAAATGTGTTATCCTTTGATAAGGATTATTGGTTAATGTGACATTCTACACATCTTGCCAAGATAATCAGATTTCTCATTTCTCTTGCCAACGCTGAAAATAGGATGGATGTATCAGGCATTTATAAGTAGGTTAGTACCTTAGTTTTAGCTCTAATATAGATATTGAGTGAACCCGTGAAGCAAAATTACTTACGTGGCTGCAGTCATTATTGAGAGATCAGCCCATCCAGTGGTAACAAATGCTAGACATAAGCACAATATCACATTGTATGTGTGCAGAAAGTGTGTTTACCCAGCCCGTCTTTGGTCAGACAAGTAATGCTGTTTTTTCCCCCTTTTTTGTTTGTGGCTGGGTTTTCTTGGCTTTTTTTCCCCTTTAGCACAGAACTCTGAAGCCTCTTAGTGATCCAGCCCTACCAACCACAATTTTCAAAGTCTATCATAACAGTCTATGACAATAAAGAAAACACTAGTACAAATATGGTGTCTGATTTATAAAGCAATTCCTGTTCCCAGCTTTGGCAGGCTCCGTGGCCACTGCCAGGCTGAGGAGCAGAGCGGGGGCCTTGGCCCTCACACCTCCTGGCCAGTCTTAGTGGAAAGCCAGCTGGTTGTGCACTAAATACACGTTCTCAGCACTCGGGGCTGTGACTCTCCTTGATATTAGTATGCCAGATTGTTGATTTCACATTGGATGCCTATTTGGGAAGAAACTCCGGAAACTTACTTTTGAAGGTCCTTGAAAGAATGATACAAGAGAGGTCAACATACTAACTACACAACCACTTTGCTCGCCAACGCGAGATGTTCAGTGTATTCAAGGTGATCCCCCAGAACGTGGGAAGGAAGCATGGGGACTTACATGTACATGCATTTTTCAGTATTAGCNATCAATATACTAACCACACAACCACTTTGCTCGCCAACGCGAGATGTTCAGTGTATTCAAGGTGATCCCCCAGAACGTGGGAAGGAAGCATGGGGACTTACATGTACATGCATTTTTCAGTATTAGCTTTTTTAAAAAGCTATGTTTTTGTAACTGCTTTATAATGCACCTTATATATAGGGGTGGGCAAAAGTAGGTTTACAGTTGTTTGTGGGGGGGGGAAGTAATAATAATAATAATATAAGAATAAGTTGTGTTTCGTGTCGTCACAACTGTAAACCTGCTTTTGTGAACCCCTGTACAGGAGTGTTTTTACTTAACATTTAAATAAGTAAATATACACATTTGGGAGTATTAAAATTTTTTTCCTGAAAGAGCTGCACAATCAGAAATATTTAGAGATCGTGGAAAGAAGCTGCAGGCTCCATCAGGACGAGAGCAGCAGCCATTTAGCTCAGACTGTATATTACCCCTAATTTAGTCTCAAGAACGAAGGGAAAAAACAAATATTTGATGACTTATTGAACTCTGTAAACTAATATTTTGAAATAAAAACAGACATTACCAACTCATAACGCTGTTTGGAATGTTATAAACCTGGCCCTCATTTATCTGATGTCTTTCCAACATTACAATCGACAATTATTAACATTCCAGC